AAAAAAAATCTATTTCAGACTGGTCAAGTAATTATGCCCTTCCAGACTTCTAAAAAGTACTTCACAAAATTACAAATTACAACTGCAAACCCAAAACAAGTGCTATTATTTAAAGCACATAAATAAATTTTAACTATGTCCAGAAGTATGACCTTGCAGCAGACAATGGCAACATTAAAAATTCCTAATTATCCATTTGTACAAATCAATGCAAGTTTTGGGGGCAAAGCAGGTAGAATGTTTTATTTTCACTAATGCACAAGTAATTAATATGTGATGCCTGCATGTGTTAGGGCAAGTGGCTCCCCATACAAAATCAGCACCAATTATCAGCTATTTCTTGCTTCTTTGCTTTCCTACACCTCAGAAATTACCAGACAATTCACACTTACATACAAGCCTTGTATTCTCAAAACTTTTATACCATAAAACTCAATTTCAATCTCAAAATTAAAAATCTGGCCCTGGATTCTCAAAACCTTGAAAATAAGAAACTAAATTTCAAGCTCAGAATTCCAAATCATGCTCTGGATTATCAAAACTGAAAATGAAAAACTCAATTTCAAACTTGTAACCCCAAATCAGTCCTGGATGAAAATCAGTGTAAGTTCAACACCTGCAAACACTGATGATCTGAAACTTAAAAACAGGAGGAATTTGTATTAACAAGCCTTTCAAAATTGTTTGGTTCCTCCTGTTGCCTGCTATAACATGAAGGTGAGCTCAAAAGTAAAAAAAAATTTCCTAGATATTGAGTCATATTATCAAAAAAAAAAAAATTTCCAGTGACTGAAAATTATCTGCCAGGTGCAGTTCTCTGCATGTTATTTGCCATAAAGTTGCCAATGTCCACTAATGTATCATGTTTTACAGGTTGTGTATATGAATAAAAATTTCTTAACAAAATGAATGTTAAACAATGTACACCACTCCCTCGATAACTCGCGCACAACAGGGTCCAAAAATATCGACCGTGTTATAAGCAAGGGCACGAGTTATCGAGGGACCTATAACAAACAACAAAACAAACAAACGGATCAACGTACACAGGCAAAAGGGGTGGGTGGGTTGGTTTGGCATGTTAGTGTTGAATACTCAATAATCGTGCTATGATTAACTATGATTAAATATTTCTTCATAGCGGTGTACTTTGTTTACTTTTGTCATCACAGAGTAACATTAATTTCAGGATAACTTACAGGATATTGAGGAGATTATCAAAACAATAATCCACACTTTTCCATTGGCTTAACACATGTATGATTTCACACGTTGTGTACTACGTCACAAATGATTGTGTTAAATTGGATAAATTCTTGTTTGATCCAAAGTAGATTTTTTTATACACAAGATCGATACTCATTTAAAAAAAAAAACCACAATGTCGATCTAACGACAGGTTGATTTGATAGCGGTAGAAGAAAAATGATTTTTTTAAAAAAGGGTTAGCCATTACCGACATCAGTTTAATGGGTCTACAAATTTAAAATAACGTAAATTAAAACACAATAATACTTGCAGTTTGTGACACGTTTGACAAATATCACTTCACATTTTCAAAACATCTGCTCATTTTTTTTTTTACTCTTTGATTTCTCTGTCGCCTCGGTATTTTTGTTCACGGGTGATTTTCTCTGAGCTGGTTTGGATAATTACATGCGGCTTCCTGATTTGCTAAGCGTATTTCTCCCGACAATGAATTTTGTTTAATTCTATGTCGGCACTGGGATCTCCAAAAGTGATAAAAATATTTTAAATATATCACATAAAAATGTGAAACCATTTTCGACTGGTCAAATAAAATGAATTTTGAAAACGGTAATGACCTCAAGAACTTATGCTGCTATCGGCATGCTGCCTTTGATTTTTTTTTATTGTACTTCCCTTGCTTGATTTGATACAAAAGACTTTTTTTATTGTACTTTCCTTGCTTGATTTGATACAAAAGACTTATTCAAAGTGATAAAACAACACAGGTGTCTTTTAATTGATTTTTGTTTAATGCAACAAACACTTCCCAGAGACGTTGATCAAAACAAAGCCGGCATTTATTTAGGTTCTCACAGAAGTACTCACGGGTTTCGATGTGACGGACGATTGACTATTTTCATGTTTTCATAGAAGAGAATATGTTGCAATTCTAGTGTTTACACTGTAGCAAAATTAAGGATTAGAACTTGAATTTCACCTAGCAAGACATTTAAGTGGTGTTTATTTTATTATCTGTTGCCAACTCTTAGCATAATATTTCGTTGATCCTGTTTCGCCAGACTGATTATTTACAGAGTATTAACAACTTTTTCTCTCAAAAATCCTAAAACATAATTTGAGACATCTAATTAGAACTTGAAAATTTCATGATATAGATTTTATCTTTACGGCAATAATCACCATTTCCGATGATATAATAAGCTACCGTATTTCATGTTTTTTTCCGTACCTTTTAATTTTTCATACACAATCCAGTTATCAAGATAACAAATATTTAAATGTATCATAATTACTCGTATAGATGTCTTTGTATTTGAAAAATTGGATAAGTTATTGGACATAAAATTTCCACTAAGATTTACGTTTGCAAAAAAGATCGAAAATACCGTAGTCCCATTTTGTTTTTATAAAAATTAATGATTTATAATTATTTTTTGTGTACGAAAATTTACATAATATACAGTATGTAACAAGGTTCAATATACTAATTCTTATCGCGAATTTTTTCCCGTTTAACACATTTTAAAATATATTTCCTTTGAAAAAAATCTGGAGCCATACCAGACACTGCGTTATAAGCGGGTTCGCAAGTTATCCGGGCGTGAATTATCGAGGGAGTGGTGTATTATTCAACCATACATCAACCTTCTATCTGACAGCAAATAAAAATTTCTGAGCAAGAATAAACACTATGAAATGAAATCTAAGTTAAATTAGCAATAACAAAATTTGAAAGCGAGATTAATCTTGAAGGGAAAATTTTACAGTACAGCTCTTTTCTAGTGCACCAGATATTCATTTTTTTTGGGGGGGGTGGCAAAATTAGTGACTACTTAAAAATTCAAGTGCAAACCTATCTATGAATGACAAAACTTGCTAAACTTACCATCATTCTGTAAAGATGTGGCAGGAATATTATCAGAACTCAAGGTATTAACAGCAGGCATTACTCGGTCAAGGTCATTGGAGTCACAAGTTGACATTTTATGTCCGTTTTTGTGTTGTTATCAGAAAATCTGATCAACCACACTTTTGTGTTGGTCTACTTGAAATCTACTACTTTACTGCAATCTCAATAACAAATTTAACCTGCAAAAAATATAATACAATTAGCAAACTATTTTCCAGACTGTCTTAAAATTTATGTGAGATGAAAAAACATACTTTTGTGAAGATACAAACTCATTCTTCTCTGTGGTGAAAGCTTTTTGCTTTTAATGGATTTTGGGGAAGGGGATGCATAAATGTTACAGGTGAACTACATTAAAATTTATAATCTTCAGCTAATTTTTAAATTACAAATATTTACATGGTCTTAATAAGCATAGAAAGTTATCTTTACAAAGAATTTTAGGACCAAAACTAATTAAGTTTTATTATGTTTTGATCGTGTATGAAAACTGAGCAGCTACCAGTATCAGTCCAATGAAATCTTGCAACTTTATTTTGAACCATGTGACACACCAGATAATCAAGATTGCATATTTCTACCTTGAATTTTGTGTTCGAGCTTCAAGAATATGCATTCATATTTAGCAGCATTTCTGACAGAAATATTTCTATGAAGTTGGGGGAAGGGGTAATGGCACATCTTCCTGAAAAGGAACTTTTTGTGATTTGTTGAGAGTTGTGATACTGTAATGATATTTGTAATTCCACAATTTGTAATCAAACAAGTAGAATTTATAAGAAAAAACAAAAGAAATCAATGGCAACAATGAGGACAGCCATTTTACCAAAATTAAGAATCTAAGATTTAAAGAGAAAGTTGTAATATTGTATTATACAGGACTGATTACATGGTACACATCAGCAATATACATGTGAATAAACTTTACTAGGGAACAGAGAAAATATTCTTTTTGTAATTAAATTCACACCACTTCCAATTTACCTGTAGACTATTAAAGATTCATGTTTCAATGTAAAATATCACATTCAATAAATAATTCAACAAAATAAGCATACCTATATGTATAATGCCACCCCACCCCCTTTCTTGAGAAAGGTGAAACTTTACAGGCAAATGAGTTAATTTACATCTTATAGGTTGCATTTTCCACTGAAATATTCTAGTTAAATATGCATTCATTTTTACATATCTTCAGATTGTGCACTGTGTTGATTATTCATGTTCTATATGCCTTGATATGTACTTGTTATATCTGCTATACATACATGTAACAGAAGAACAGTGGGATTAATGTTTTTGTTGTTGTGGGTTTAACACCACTTATAAGCACATGATAGGCTAAACATGTTGACCAGTATATCTGGTGGAGATAAATATGGAAAATCCCAGAAAGAACCACCAACCTATGGATAGAAAGCAGTAGCTTTCCCACATACTCACTCTGGCAGAGACCAAGACAGAGATCTCTGAGGACAGAGGTGAAGTTAGTGATCTGTAAAAACTGCTCAACCATCTGGAGCCTCATGGGATGGATGACTGGTGCTATACCATTACCACAAGTATTTACTCCAAAAATGAAAAAGACGAACACTAGTACAACTACCACCTGACATGAAAAATATAAGGAAACAAGCCTCTATGTGGGTAGTGTGTTATTAATGACAAATGGTGGAAATTTATACAATGTCATAATAGGCATGCACACTACACAGAAACTATTCATTACTCAAAAACATCAATTTTTGCAAAAAAATTACAATATTACTTAAATTTTAAATTATGAAGTGCCTTTTTGATCATTTCTATCTCCAGAGCACTGATGCTATATTTGATCTTGCACATGCCAAGTATATATTCTTTCTCTCATTATTTACATGCTCTGGTGGCCTAGTGGTTAGAGCGTTTGCCTTGGATGCAGGAGGTCGTGTGTTCAATCCTCGGTCAAGCCATACCAAAGACTTTAAAAAATGGTACTAACAGCTGCCTCACTTGACGCTCAGCATTAAGAGGTTAATGTTAGGACTGGTTAGCCTGGTGTCAGGGTAATGTGACTAGGTGGGACATCATGCTTCATGTCAGCGGCATGATGCCCCAGTGCTAGACATCGCTATAAACTGTCACACTGCTGACATCGTAGTGATATGACTGAAAAATTGTTAAAACTACTTTAAAATTCATAATCACATCACATCACATCTCATTAATTCTTCATTCTGTGTCAAAAGGTGGCTGACCACCAGACTGTCTCTCAGGTAGATATGCTGTTTGCCAAAATGGACTTCTCTTTCCTCATTTACAAGCCAGAAAAGCAGATGGGTTTCACCTGGCATAGTTGTATGACAGCTATAAATCCTGTGAACAAATAGTGTGAAATGTCAAGGTTTAAAGTTGCAATGAGTTTCTTTTTAGCAAAAATTGGCTTACACTTGGAATATTTAGGCTTGACACTGACACTTATTTAATGTGGCAGAATGAAAAGTGAAGTCATTGTTGGAATTTGTTAACTTGAATTTGATAATCATTTCCATGCCTGGGGTCTTGTGGTAATTCTCATTGATGTTAACCCTCTAATTCAATCCAAAGGTAGCACCTTCTAATGCCTCAGTCCAATGCACTTTGATGTCTCATCTGCATGTAACATACATTTTGATGCCTATAACAGCCATTATGAGCTGATTTTTGTAAAGACATCTTCAGGGAAAACTTTCCATCTGTAATTATAGGTGCTGAGGTAATGAATGGGATCTCACATCACATGGCTGTTATTCAAGATCTGCTGAAAGTAAATCGGTCAGAATCTCCCTTATCCAAAATAGAAGCTGTAAATTTCATTCTGCACTCTCTCAAGTTTGAATAATTACAATTCTGATAATGAAAGCTTCAACAAGTCAGATATAGCCTCTGATATCGATGTAAGCAATAATGATTTTAATAACTTATCATATTCTGGTCATAGGCAATCAACTGGTAAGTTTTGAGGATGAAAAGGTCAGCTTTGATTTGTCATGGTTTCACAGACTTGACAGTAAATGAATTCTCTTAAGATTTTTAAACATAAAATCTCTTAAGTAAAATATTACAAAACTATAAAGACAAAATTTTGCTCTTAAACCTTTCCACAGATATTAAATAAGTTCAAAAAACAAAAAAGGTAAAATGATTAAAACTTCATGTTGACATATATTCCACAGTTCTAAGTAGTACAAGAAAGCCTATTCCCATAATCTTATTTCAGTAACAGGTTTCTATTTATAGCATACTGTACTCAACTAAGGTTTTGGCACATGTATATCAACAGGCAACAATGTAAGAAATAAGAGTAAAATTAAAAGCTTATGCAAGGTCACACAACAGCCTCTTCATGTATAGTCCAATTAAAATGTGCTTTGCAATCATTTAACCAAGTAATTAAATTTTGAAAAACAATTTAAACAATTTATTTAATAAAAAGAGTGCACCAGTGGGGACAAAGGGGCTGACATTTTGAGGGGCATGGAGCTCTATTTCTAACTGGAACACTGTCTTGAAAACATGATTATGTGATTCAAATGATTTTTTTTCTCCAGCTGAATCAAAGGTTTTGGTACACACACTCAAGCTTCAAGAAGTACATCCAAGCTTCAAGAGGTACACAAAATTATATCATATTATGGCTTGCTGGCTTGTAGGGTACCTCAATATTGCAAAATTGAGGTTTTGTTGTTTTGTTGTTGTTGTTGTTGTTCTGGGACCTAACACCATACTACCCCCATATACCGGTATTTTAAATTCCACTATATTACACAAAACTCAAGACCATGTAAACTCAGGACCAGTACCCACTTAAACTGATTTCAATGCATTGTTGAACTTATATTGTTTTAGCTGTTTTTTTAAACACTGAAAGAAAGCATACATTTTGGCATTTTGACATGTAGTAGAAAAAAAACAAACAAGATAACAGCTGCCATTAAATATTTCTCTTAAAATAATAATAATAATAATAATAATAATAATAATAATAATAATAATAATAATAATAATAATAATAATACAATATCCAAAGAAATGTCAATCACACTGCATCAGAGTAGCATAGGGGTATACAATATTCTCTCCTCTGTGCATGTTTCAAATGCAAACAACTTCACCCTAATTATCACTATCGAAAAAGTACATAATAACTGGTGAGTGCCCCATAATGATATGCAAAGTACCTGAATTGAACATCAGGTTCAGATTTGGAATGTCTCTGTTTATTTTGAATTATTTAATCAGTGACTAAAAGGGTTTAATAAAATTAACATCTAATGGTCAATAGGGAAGATTTCAAGTTCTTCACTAGCAAAAACAAATGCCTGTGACCACAAAATTTTTAATGCACCTGCTGGCATTTTAACATGATAAATTGTGTTTGTATTCATCACTACTCCCATGCACTTGTTCTAGATGAGATTTCAGTTGCACAAGGAAGCTGCATTACTTCTTCTATTTTGAAGATATCACCCTAAAGTGAAGACATTCAATTTTTAAAAACTTTCATACAACGCAAAACAAGGGGTAATGGCCAAGAGAAGTCATGCATCAGATAAAAATATGGCTGCCTGAAATAACCCTAAAAAGCTTAAATTAAAAGCACTTAACATGTAGTCTGTTTAATAGTATTTCTGTTATCTTGTCATGGATGAGAATAGCAATTAAATAGATGCTAGTCACTATCTATCTTTAATCTTAATGCTGGAAATACAACCAATGTCAACTCATTAAAGGGCACCACCTATCACTGACCAACCTTCTAAAGATAGAAAAACCAACAGGTTAATATCTGTATCAATAATGTACTGTATCATAGGCTGTGTTGGATGAATCACAGTGATAAGTGGCACCTGTGTATCATTTCACCCCTACTTGCCATTCTTTGCTTTTGTGTGCAGCTATAAAGAATCTAGGAAGATTACATTCTTTTTATTTTAATGTATTTAATTAGCTTCCATTTTCCAAATTAATTAACAAAATGATCATGTTACGTTTATGTTGTTTTTATTTCCATCTCAAGCAATAATTCATGCTACCGTCTCTTTTTTTAAAAACTATTTTGACCAAATTTCTCCCTGGTAGGTTTAGCACTAAAATTCAAAAGCTCTGGACCTAGTGTTTCTTGGGTTGCCATTAGATTTTTCATTCCACAGAACCATGAAGCTATTAGTGTTGCATTGATTTCTCATTTTTTGGCCCATTGGAATCTCCTATTCCAAGAAACTCAGTCTCTTTGGAACCGGCTGTTTTTGTTTTTTTTTAAAACTAAGTTTCTGTCAACCAGTCTATATAAATCATGCTCATCTGCAGCCTTGTGCTTGGTACACAAAAAATTAACTAAAATTGCAATCAGAAATGTACACATATGATGATTACTTGAAAAACAAAAGTATATCTGTACATCAGACACTGAAAAAACTGCTAATTTTGTGGCAGTTCACAATGATTAACATGAGAGTTCATATTTCTCCAGCAAACAAAACATGTCCTTGCCTTATTTTTCTAAATATAGTCTAGGACAAAGTATTCCAAACATCTGGTAGGGCTTTATAAATATGGACTGACCCAGTAGTGTTTATAAAAGAGGTATCCAATCACCCATTGTGTACACATTGTGGCCAGTAGCAGGGATTGCCCTGGGCTTCACCAATCTGACTAATTTCTACACATTGTGGCCAGTAGCAGGGATTGCCCTGGGCTTCACCAATCTGACAAATTGAGATTTTTATTCCTTATTGGTGACAAAATATACCATCTGGCATGGGGAACAACACTTTTGGCTGTTTACTTTTGTTTATACAACCTGGTGTTTGGAGTGGACAAAATCAAAGACTCCATGACAGGAAGCAGCAAACTTGGATATAAAATGCTCTGGAATCTAATGTTATATAAACAAATCCTTTGTTCACATTGACCAACCACCCTAAAAGTTCATTGCCATATTATAATCCACTTATGCTGATGTCTGGCCTTAGTACTGTATCCTGTATTGTAACCAAAATAGTTGTTACCTGACTAGCTACAATTGAAAACAATCAACCTGATGAGGGCAATAAATTGGTGGGGGGAATGTACCAATAAAAATTAGTTTTGCTGAAACTTCAAAGAAAACTGATTATATGTGAAGCACTTATATATATATATATATATATATATATATATATATATATATATATATATATATATATATATATATATATATATATATATATATATATATATATATATATATACACACACACACTAAGCAAATGCAAAAAAATTCTGTCTCAATGTCTGATGTTGCTGCAGCAATAACAATTGGACATTTGTTTGGTCCATCAAAGAGGGCCTTTAGTGGCACCTTCAGTAACATGCACCTTCATAAAAGCAAGCTGACAACCTTTGATCAAAAAAGTCAGCAACAAAATGTTAAAGAATTTTTAAAGTGGTGCTATTTTTTAACTGACTGGCAAACATTGCTAGCGACAAATATTTATAAAGTATATTTTTAAAAATTTTCATTGATACAAGCAACTCAGGCCACATAATACCTGTTTTCACTACTGCAGCACTCAGTGGATCATGTCAGTTGTTGTTATTGCTGGGTTGAACACCATTTTTCAACATAAGATAGGCTGTATATGGTGACCAGTATTAATGGTATAGGAAAACTCCAGAAAGATAGGCTGTATATGGTGACCAGTATTAATGGTATAGGAAAACCCCAGAAATAACCACCAGCCCATGAGAATTTACTGGCAAACTTTCTCACATAACAACATTGGCTGAACAGATCATGTCAGTAGATGATGAATAAAATGTTATTTGAAGATGATTCAGCTAAATGCAATCTGACAGTTTTGAGAAACAGTTAAATGTGATTAGTAGGAAATAATGACTGTGGGATATACTCTGTAGTGTTGAACAGCTCTGCAAAAAGATTAATTTGTCA